ATAATCCTACTCACCCTTTTTCCCTGATCCATACTGATGTGTGGGGTCCATCAAAATTTGAAACCAATTCTAAGTCCAGATGGTTTGTAACTTTTATCGATGATCATGCTCGGGTAACATGGGTTTTTCTTATGAAAGAAAAATCTAAAGTTTTCACAATCTTCAAAAATTTTCATGCTTTTATTCAAAATCAGTTTCAAGCATCAATAAAAATTCTCCGAAGTGATAACGGAAGAGAATATTTGAATTCCAATTTTCAAACCTTCTTAGAAAAACATGGCATACACCATCAGACATCTTGTGCCTATTCTCCCCAACAAAATGGTGTCTCTGAAAGAAAAAATAGACATTTGCTTGAGGTTGCTCGTGCTCTTATGATTGGTGGTAATGTCCCAAATAAATTTTGGGGGGATGCTATCCTTACATCTACCTACTTGATTAATCGTTTACCCTCTAAAACTCTAAACTTTCAAACACCTCTTCACAAATTTCTCGAGATCTATCCTAACTCCCATCTCATAACAACCATACCAAAACAGGTCTTTGGGTGTACAACATTTATGTACAATGAGGTTAGGGGGAGGCTAGATTCTTGCGCCATCAAGTGTGTCTTCTTGGGGTACTCCTCTACTCAAAAAGGGTATAAATATTATTCTCCTATTACCAATCGTGTTTATGTTACAATGAAAGTCAAATTTGTTGAAAACCAACCCTTTTTTAACAAATCACCCATTTAAGGGGAGAAAGGGACAAATGAAAATGAATGGTCAATTTGTTTACCTGAGAATGATCATCATAACAATTTGCCTAATTTTTCTGGACAACCGCATGAACACCACATATTACTAGATTTGTCTACAAATATCTCCTCTACTCACAATGATTCCACCTTTGAGCCTTTAAACCAGTCTGACCCCATTGAAACATTATCTCTAAATTCTGAAAATTCCTCCAGCAAATCCCACTTCCAAGACGTGAATCCTTTTGAGCCCCTTAATATGTTGTCTGATTTTGAGACTCAGGTGGAAGAACCTAATAGTGCTATTAAAAAGCAACAGAGTGGACAAGACCCCATTTCCACACCAATGCAGAACCATGAATCTGCACCTGAGGAAAGTCTTGAGGACTTACATTGGCCAATTGCTTTGAGAAAAGGAAAGAGGAATTATACACGATATCCTATTGCTAGGTATATTTCATACAAAAGTTTATCTCCTCATTTGAAGGCTTTTGTAGCTAATGTCGAAAATGAAAATATTCCAAAGAACTTTGAGGAAGCAATCATAGATCCTAAATGGAAGGAGGCCATAGAAGAAGAATTTGAGGGCTCTACATAAAAACCAGACATGGGAGATCATCGAGTTGCCTAAAGGGAAGTCAATCGTAAGTAGTAAGTGGGTTTTCACAATAAAGTACAATCCTGATGGGAGTGTAAACAAATATAAGGCTCGATTAGTTGCTGGAGGCTTTACTCAGACTTATAGGATTGATTACTAGGAAACTTTTGCGCCTGTTGCCAAGCTTAACTCTGTGAAAGTCCTGTTGTCTCTCGCTGCAAATCTAGATTGGCCTTTACATCAACTCGATGTCAAAAATGCATTTCTAAATGGTGATCTTGAGGAAAAAGTTTATATGGAAATTCCTTTAGGATTACGAGATTCTCATAATTCTCACAAGGTTTACAAGTTGATCAAGTCTCTGTATGGCTTGAAACAATCACCGAGGGAATAGTTTGAAAAATTTACTTGGGCTATTAAAACTTAGGGATACAGACAGTGTCAAGCAGATGACACTATTTGTCAAACATTGTGATGAAAAAATGACGGCTCTCATTGTGTATGTTGATGATATAGTTTTGACAGGAAATGATGCAGAGGAAATTGTCAAACTAAAGGACAACTTGGCAATTGAATTTGAGATCAAAGATCTGGGACCTCTGAGATACTTCTTGGGCATGGAAGTGGCACGAATGCATAAGGGGATTAGTGTGTTACAACAAAAATATACTCTAGATTTGTTGAAGGAAATGAGGATGTTAGGAGCAAGACCTGCAAACACTCCTATGGAACTGCACCAAAAATTGACAATCAAATCTAATGGGACAGCAGTAAATGAAGAAAGATATTAGAGGCTAGTGGGCAAGTTGATTTATTTATCTCATACTAGACCTGACAATTGCTTTCCTGTGAGCGTAGTTAGCCAATTTTCAAGCTGTCCTCAAAAGGAACATTTAGCTGCAATCTACAAGATACTTAGGTATCTGAAAAAGACTCCAGGACTGGGACTATTCTTTGCAAAAGGTGATATTAGAGGCATAGAATTGTTCACAAATGCTGATTAGGCTGGGTCAAAAATAGATAGAAGATCTACTACTAGCTATTGTTCGTATGTGTGGGGCAACTTGGTGACCTGGAGGAGCAAGAAGCAACCTGTAGTTTCAAGAAGCTCAGCCGAGTCCGAATATAGGGCTCTTGCTTTAGGAACTTGTGACGGAATGTGGATTGTTAGACTTCTAAAGGAACTCAAGATTGACACGGTTGGACCCATTAAAGCATGGTGTGATAACATGTATGCAATCAAAATTGCCAACAATCTGATGCATCATGATCGTACCAAGCATATAGAGATCAATCGGCATTTTATCAAGGAGAAATTAGATACAAAGACTATTGATCTATCCTACATCCCTTCAAGGCAGCAAATTGCATATGTGATGAGCAAACCATTGACCCAAGAAAAGTTTGAAGCATTCAAAGGCAAGCTGGGAATGATAAACATCTCCTCACCAGCTTGAGGGGGAGTGTTGGACATATAACTCATTATTAGGCCCTAGGCCCAGTAATATCTCAAACCTAATTTTCCTTTTCTCCTCTTCTCATCTTGTAACGTTTTGTTTCAATGTCTTTAATTAGATTTATGTTATTAGAGATTTTAGGAGAGTGTTTAGGGATTTAATTAGATACACTCTCTCCTGCCCCAATCTATAAATGTATCAGGTCCCTATCAATAATAAGCAAGTATTATTCAGTCCAACTAAAGTTTCATCTATATTTGCTTCCATCTGTATCACCTCCTGGGTTGCTCACCGAAACCTCCTCATGACCTTCCTGTTCGTTTCCACATGGCCCTGCTATCTTCTTCTCTATTTACACCAGGGCATTATTAATGGTCTTCAATGTTTCTTTGATACCGCTTACATCCCAGGGTAATACCCCAACAATCTCCTGCAATTCTTGTACTTCTGGATCAGAATATTGGACCTTTTCTGCCATAACTCCTTACACACAACACCCAGAGATTGTATCGCTCTAATACCAAATAATGTGTCTCAAGCTAGTATCACAGCAAAAACAATAAATAAGACAGCAACAGTAATAAATATGAGAGGAAAATACTTAGGTTTTGATATTAATGAGATGAATAAAAAGAATCAGATTTACAAGAAGACTCTGATTCTGGCCCAAAACCCTATTTCCTCTAAAAGATAACAATAACACCAGTAACACAGATAACAAGCTTCAAAACAAGAGTTTCACTCCCACTGGCATTCGAGAGGCCAGTCTCTCCTCACAATTCCATTCTCATTCTCCTCAGCCATCCCTTCCCAAGCAAAAGACTACTAATACCTTCATCCTGGCTAACACACAGCCCATACTACCCAAAAGATCCTAATCATTACAAAAGAACACAAAATACTGTTCCTTACGGCTAGGGACCAAAGGATAAGCTTCTAGACCAGTTAAAGTATTTCCACTGGAGTTATTCTTCCCCTTTGACTTCCTCTAATATGTCTTAGGAAAATAACGGGCCCTATCAAAAACCTTTTTAAGATTTGGAACACAGATGCAAACAGGAAAACAAGGTAGTAACAGTTAACTGTTATTTGAATCCACCAATAGCACATAATTTTCCCCCAAAAAAGAAATTATATTTCAAATTGTGAGTTCTCTTGAACCATCCTCACAACCACATTAGAACAAGATACATTCTATCATAGGCACCATAGGTCCAGCATCAAAAGAAAGTATAGACTCCTGTCTTCTTAGCTTTGCCTTTAACACAGACCCATATTTTGAGGTTTTCGCAAATTTGAACAGCCAATTGGCAATTTTTCATGCCTTTAAGCCTCCTCCTAGACTGGTCTAGTCATGAATCTAATAAGGGTCTCTTACTAACATAGTAAAAGCCTTGTTCCCTACGTAGAATGAATTAGCCAACTAATGAACTAGTGAACTACATGTAAAAATTAATAAATAAACGAGAAAATGGGTTAAGGACAAATAGATGCCATGACAAAGTCAACGTCCATGAGATCACTGTGATTAGATCAGTACAGATAGAAAAACAGAGAAGCTCTTGGAAACCAGCATTAAATCCATGGAACTATTGGCTCAAGATCTGGGAAGTATTAGGATGATTTGAAGTAATTATAGAAGTCTGATCAAATCTGGAAAAATATTCCAGATTTGGAACTCATTGTTACAGACAAATAGACCATTAATTCCAGGATATTTGCCGTGGCTAATTTCCTATCTTTCTCTCTTAAGTTTTGTTATTTATTCCTTTTTCTTTTCTCCATAGCACAATTAGTCTTTACTGCCAGCATTTATGTATTTTATTTTTCTTCTGCAGCCAGGCCTGCGTGTCTCTCACTTTAGCAGAGACAAGCTCCTTGCCATCGTTTCAGGTCCATGATTCTTGCTCAGCCTTACCTGTCTCCTCTTCCCTCTAATTTCTATCTCAATCTGTGTACTCATTTGGCTTCTTTTTGTATTTACAATCATCCTCTGCAATATCTCCAAGAATTGAATCCACTGAACTTACTGGTGTTCGTCTCATTCTCAAAAAATATGATTTTCTAACCCCAACTGAACTAGGCCCAAGAATGAACAACTTCTTCAATCTATTTCCAAGTATTTAAATATATGTGAGCAAGTATACAAGTTTTGTCCAAATGAAAATAGTAATTAACAGAAAGAATTAGGATTATTTTGGCATACCTTCATCTTCAAGCTTATCCCAATGCTCATCCCAGTCAGCAGCTCCGTCTTGGATGCCAGGTTGCCAGCCTTCAAGTTAAAGTAGGTTGAGGCCAACAAATGCAAGCAAAGGGAAGCCCATCAGAGTGAGATACAAACAAAAGAAGTGGGGGGAAACATAAGAGCCATATCATGAAACTTCATTGAACAAGAATGACGAGCTGTTTTAGAGTATAAATTGTTTCCTGAGCTCTATATCCAGAATGTCTGTTGAGTGAGTGTGTCCACAAGTTACAGAGGCAGCCATAACAGAGGAGCATAAAAATAGTAACATATGGCAATTATCAAATTCTACAACCACAAGACATGTACTATAAATGACCAAAGTTTAAAAAGATTATGAAGTGCAGCTCCACACAGCTCTTCTCAAAAACTACAAACATTCCATACATGACAATTGGAAAAGAATAAACATCCTAATGAAAGTGACAGGAGGATTTAAAACAGCATCTATAAATTTGAATATACCAAATGGTAGCTCCACTAGTGTTGTGGGCTTTCCACGTAACCCATATTTCTTGCACCGTTCATTTAAAGATTTCACTAGCTCATCAAGGTCTGATTGGATACGATCAGCATGAACCTGAAAGTTAAAAGACAAAATAAGAAAAATCAGTCTCCAGATGCCTGCAAAGACCTGGTCATATTAAAAATTTCAGATATACCTGAAGGGTACCATCAGTAAGGCCATCTTGTTCCAATTTGACAATTGATTGATACAGTTCCAACTTTTTCTCCTGTGCATTATACTTCAAAAATTATTTTACATTGACCAGGCAACCAAAAAATAAAACAAAAACAAAAACAAAACCATGCGCGCGCACAAAGAGAGAGAGAGTAGTGATAAGATTTGCATTTACACTAACTCAATTGAAGAAAAATCCATAATTCATCAAACCTGTATGTCACGAAATGTGGCTTCTTCAGCAGTTAACTTGGATGCTATATCCCCAACTTGCTTATATTTGGCTTCATATTTCTTGGCAAGAATCTCAACCTGATATTGGTGTATTAAACAAATGACAGACATCAGAGGTTAAGAAGATAATCAGATCAGAACACAAGCAAGTGTTAAGAAAGATACCTCATGCTTATCAGCAGATATCCTTTCTACAATCTCATTAAGGTGGTTGTCACATCTGCTCTTGTACAAAACCTTTTACAAAAAAAAAAAAAAAAGGTTTGGATAGAAGGTGTTATCAAATTTTCAGTAGAACATAACAATGAAAAATACAACCCTGATATGATAATTAAAAAAAAAACAAAACATAGGCTATTTTTGCAGAAAGAAATGATTGTCACCAAGGATATTTACCAGATATAAGAAGGCTTTAATCAAGTTGAGAAAAGAGAGATATGAACAAACAAGAGGATAGAGGGTCAAGATGGAGAACCAGAAGCCTAGATGGAAATGGGAAGAATCATGATCAGAAGATCCATATGAACCCACATTAGAATCCCATACTTCTGAAATGGGACTCAAGTCCCATGCGGCTATTCCTTTCAATTGGGTCTTAATGCTTATGATTTTCAATTCTCTCTTCTTGTGCCATCAAGAAAGTTTTCATGTCTGAAAGAGTATTAGTCAATTTTGGAAGTCGCCACCATAATAAATGAGTTGTATTCTGCTAGCAATCCTTCAAAGATAGCTTCGATATGTGATTCTATAGAGACCATCACACCAATTGCGAGAATAAACATCAATTAGCTTCTTGAGCCTCAGAAGGAAGTCAAAGATACTCAACCCATCTTTCTTCAATTTCATGAGCTAATTTCTCAGCTGTGTAGCTTTCAAACAAGTGTATAACACAAAAATGGTGTCAAGATTAGCCCAGAATTGGTACATATGTTCATACCCCATCATTCTTAATTGCATTCATTTAGTCATTGATGCAAGAAGCCATGATGCAACCATCTGGTCCTACAATTCCTAGTTGAGAAATTCCTCTGCAAAATGTCCAATGAATTCATCTTCCTCTGAAGCAAACCTCTATGGCAAAGCATGTTAGCCTGGAATGTATTTTTGCAGCTTGTAGCCACAAATAATATCCAAAGCTTGCTGCTTCCAAAATCAAGTAATTTCCTTCCTTGAGTTTGACGGACACAAGATTTGAGAACCCTGGGAACTAGACTTGTGCAGCATTTGTTTCACACCATGAAAAAATTCAAAGCAAGAGATAATTTCCATCCAACTATAAGCAGTGTATTTATATAGAGTATCACAACTGAACTCAGTCTAACTATCTAGCATAATAGTCTCAAACTGACTCTAAGGCCTTGTTTGGTACATGGGATTGGAGGGGAGGGACTGGCATTAGGATTGAATAATCCCAACTTTTCATGTTTGGTACGCTACAATGAATATTTAGTCCCAGTACTAATCCCACCTTACATGGAATTACCCAATATCACCACCCCCTGGTGTTGCAAAATCAATCCTGGGATTGATTTTTTGAGGACGAAAATGCCCTTCCGCCTTCTATTCTCCACCTTGCTCATGTGCAATTGACAGACGAGAGCAGAAGCAGACGATAAAGGTGAGTGATGAGCAGATCTAGATCAGAATCAACAAAGTCAAGCAATGAGCAAAAGCTAACCCGGAATTAGATGATGACGAGCAAAATCAAATGATGAAGACAAGCAACGAGCAGAAGCTAGCCCAGAATCAGACAATGACGAGCAAGGTTGAGCAACGAGCCACCTGCGTCTCCGTTGTTTGCTTCTAGGTTCTTTATCATCATCATCATTTTTCATCATCGTTCCTCTCTATCATTTCTAGTTGGAAGGCACAATAACAAAGAAGGCAAATGAGCCTCCCCCTATGGAAGACTCTGACACAAGTACAAACAAAGGCATAAGAGCAACATGAAGAAGAAAGAAGAGGAAGAAGATGATGAGGATAGACGGGGACTAAGTTGCTCTACTGCAATCATTGTTTGAGATAGAAAGAGTTACAATTTTTTTTTAAATTTTAAGGTATATTATAGTCTTTTCACAATTTATGTTTCATTTTAAATAAAATAAAAATAGCTATTCCCTACAAATATTACTCCATATCAAACATAATTTTAAAACCTCATTCTCATTCCCATTCCTACTATCAATCCCAATCTCAATCCCAATCCCTTTATAGTGAAGCCTATGTACCAAACAAGGCCTAACAGTACCTACCTCCTAACTACCCTTTCAATGTCCCAACCAAACTACATATCCTTGAGTCTATGCAACATGGCATTGTGATAGATTTTGAGCATAATGTGGGAGTCAAATTTCATACTTTGCAATTGGGTTCTAGCAAGCAAGATTTCATACAGTTGCATCTCTATGCTCAAAAGAAAACTTTTTTTAGATGAAAAACCATTCAAGGATAGAACTTTCAACATTTCCTCCTTTGTTCTTTCTTTCTTTTTTTTGAGTAAAATACTTTGACCTCCTTTGGATTTAGCATTTGATTATCTACCACACTTTTGAAAGCATGCTATCATTTAGATTTAGTCTTTCAAAGAGTGATGCTTTAAATTACTAGAAGTCAAATGAGCTTAGTCATCAGTTCTATAAAGCATCATTTTAAAAAAGAACTAAATGGTAGCATTTCTTCAAAGGAAAGAAAGGTTTGCATATTATTTTTATAATAGGGTGAAGGTTCGCATTAGTAAAGAAGGGGAAGGAAAACAAGCTATACCAATGAGCTTAACAAATTTACTTTATGTATAATGGCATGAATATATAAGTTATGGAATCAATTATAGGTAAATGGTAGAGCTCTGCTCTATAATAAATTCCGTAACAGAAAATAAATGCAAGAACTGACAATTTTAGGGAAATACTTAGGTTTTGATATTAATGCAGAACAACCAAATCAATGTTACCAAAGGGAAGTCATTGATTTTGGCCAAAACCCTATTCCCTAATGCTGAACAAGATTACAACAATAAGAACTAAAACAGCAACAGAATAGGTCCCTCACTAGTGTTTGAGAGACCAGCACTCTCCTCACTTCTATCTGACCCTCAAAACATCTCCCGAGTGCTAACAAAACAACAACACAGTATTAAGCAAGCCAAAAAGGTGACTCTAGCCTCTAAATTGAATCTTCAGCCACCCTCAACACATAGTAACTTAATCCTCATTTGCTTGAGCCTCAGGCTAATAATTCTGACCTGCTGGATATTTCTTTTCCACTTCTCCCCCCACCCTGAATTTTCTTGTATGTCTGAGCATATCCCGAGGTTACACCAGTAAACAAAATGAATATTTTTTTCATCCTTAAAAGCTTGAATGTTTTTTATGCAGTGCAGGAAATGAGAGAATATATTATTTTTACCAAGTTCCTATTTGCAATTGCTGGCTGCACCTGTATGGAATATGGCTCAGCCTTCAAACTATGCTACAGAATGATGATAGCATGTTATATACTTCCTAAAATCTATCATCCATAAACATTCACAAAATATAACACAAAACAGGCCAAATAAAATGCAGATTGAACAGCATTAGTTTAGAAGAGAAAAGGACAGAAAATACTCACAAGTTCTTGCATTTTGGCATTATAGAAGCCTATTTTCTCTCTGGACTCCAATATCTCTCCCTCAAGTTCTTCCACCTTCAGTTAACATAAACAAAAAACATCATGAGAGTTTCATGTTCTCAAATAAAAACAGAACATAATCCAATCAGGTATATACAGGCATGGCATAAGGATCAACATAAATGACAATCAAGAAAGTGGACTTTCCACGCAACACCTAATAGTTGTCATATCTGTAAAGTTTCAATCATCATTGGGCAAGAGGACTAAGAGAAAGAAAAAATTGACATATCACTGCATCATAAAACAAACTGACATTAACAAGATAGCCCTACATGCAAAATTGGAAAAATGAAGATAGGAAGCAAAATTCCTTGGAAAGGTTTAAATAGTGCAAAGAAAAAACTGAAATAAAAAAGTAAAGGCAATTAGTGAATAGATAACCAAAATATTGCCAAAAAGCTTAACAGTAATACTATAGAGAAGAGTTTAGATCTCAACAGAAAAAGCAAAGATAGAAAAGGTACCTTCTTATTTGCATGTGTTGCCTCTTCAAATTTTGAATTGATTGAATTCTGTTCATCAGAACTCAGCTGACTTATGAGGTGCTTCTCCAAGACTGGCACTCTGCGCTTATGCTGCTTATTCTGTGGTCCTTCATCTGATTCAGCGACAGAAGCAGGTCTTGGTGGCCTACCCGCAGCAGGGTTCACTGTTTGGGACCCAGCAACAACCATCCCTTGCTGCTGTTGAAAAACTTTAGAGATGATAGTGGCAGAGAGAGAGAGAGAGATTTATGAGAAGAAATAGATATTTTCATAAATGCAGAAGCTTATAATAAAATACTACTAATTTCTTGTACATATATATACCTGGTAAAGTTCCCCAAGATGCAGTACCAGAAGTTGGTAAATCAAGCATAATGTTATTAGGAATTGCTACAGGAAGAACTCGTCCTTCCCTGTATCTCTCCATTAAGTACAATGCAATACAAAACTCCCTAAGAGAAAGCATGCTATCATTATCTTGATCAGATAAGTCCCAGACCTGCTTTAAAACCTCTGAGAGATACAGGCCAAAGAATAAAATAAGGATCAGGGAATCAGCTAGCCATAAAATACTTACAAGTATGGTGTTTAACAGAACCACCCCCACCCCCACCAAAAGAAGATGCTACGGAATGCAACCTTTATTCTCATAGAGATGATCAATCAATTATATATTACAACTGATCACAATCATTGTAGCTAGAGACCAAGAAAAGCAAGTAAAATTTAAAACTTTCAGGCTACCTATCAAAGCAAAAAGGCAAAGACAATCACACCATACCTCTTGGCAATCTCCAACTAAGGAACAAATTTCGGGCTTGTTCCCCAGTAATTTTCCCATCTCTGTCTGCATCTACTTCCACAAATACTTTTTTATATTTCTGAACATCAGATGAGGTCATCCTTGGCCAGGGAGATGGAGGCTGACTGGAAGCAGAATTCTGCAATCCCACTGAATGTCCAGATGGAATCAACGTATTACGTGTCTGGATAGGGACATTTTGGTTTTGTTTCACCAGAGGCTGAGCCTGTGGAAGTTGTGCACTAACAGGCTGTGTCACAGGTGAGCTCTGAAAAGAATCAGCAGCACTCGTCTGAACAGAATTCTGGTTTACTCCAGATACTGGAACAGAAGTTGATGAAGCCTGCGAACTGAGCATAGAAAATCCTTGAGGTGAAGTGTATTGCTTTGGCTGAGATGAGGTAGCAGAGAACACATCCCCAGATTTAGAATCTTTAACTGCTTGTTCAGATGGATTTGTGTCAGAGACTGGGTACTGCCTAGGTGGCAGGGCAGCATTTGGTCTGGAGGTTGCAAGCCCAAACCCGTCACTGGTTGTTGAAGGACTAATTCCATCAGCTCCTACTTGGGAGGTTACTGCTGGAGCTCCACTCGTTTTGCCAGTGATTTCATCACCTGTAATGCTGGAGGATATAGTTTGAGCTCTACCAACAGCCATCACCCCAGAGAACCCTTGAGTGGCAACACTGTGTACTAAATTTGAACTAGATGTAGAAGTTTGTTGAGGAGGGTTCACTAAATGACTTTCTTGAGAAGAAAAGTTTGGCTGGCTTCTAATTAAATTTGGAACTGTCCCCCTTAATCCAATAGTTTGAGAGGAAATAGGATTAACAGGAGCCATCTGCGTTGGAGTTGCATCTGCAGAAGAATTAAACTGAGGTGCAACAGCGGAAGTGAAATTAATTAGAGGTGCAGGTATCTTAGATGCAGCTGCGCCATACAAAGCTGCTTTTACAATTTCTGGAGTTAGCTCTCGCTTACTCTGTGCCACTGTGACAAGTTTAAGGGCATTGTAAAACTCAACCCGGCCAAGGAAACCACTTTGGCTCTGGTTTGCAAAAGCCCAAATCTGTAAATGAAGTCAACCAGTGATATTAATAAAGTTTAAAATATGAACGTGTTTGCATCTTCACATTATTAGAATGCAGATGCCTTGATGTGGTGGTGTTACTAGTAAGAAGGAAGAACACCAACAAGCAAGAGACGAATGTGACACCATCACAACAATATCTCACCAACAATCAAAGCAATAATTTGAGGTGCTGGTAACAACCTTATCAAAAGACCATTTCAACTCAAAAGATGTTAAGGCCTAAAAAATAGTTTTATTATAATCTAGAACAATAACTCACATGAAAGCCCATTTGACTTAAATTGCAGACAAAAAACAAGGGCCCATAACTTGGGTTGAAACTTAAGTTTAAATAGGAGAATGGCGGTCACTACATGGTTGCAATGGATTTGATATGATATCAAAGATCATTTGAACACAAAACACAGGTTGATGAGCGAAGGCTTATCAATAGTCTTGCTTTAATCTCTTAAAAGGGATAAATATCATGAAAGCGCATAACCTAGCTGATTATTTCCATATCTGCACCCCAGAATGCAGAATAAGATTAGCTGTTACTTTCCGTAGAAAGACACATGCACAGAACTCACGATTATTTCTCAAAATTAAATTTCTATAGAACTCAATTCATTGTGACTTCTATCATTTACAACAGTATAACGTAAGAAAAAGCCTTTAGGTAGATTGGCACCCCTATATCAAGCAATGGATAATCCTTATACAAATTCCTAACATCCTAGGGGCCCCTGATGGCCAAGATCTGCCCAGAATCTCAGTTTCAGGACAGCAGGCTACTACAATGTACTAAATATCGACACTGACAGTTCATATATCAAGGAAATTCTGCAGAATATAAGTTTTAATCATCTTAACTGTAACCAACCTCAGATCAGTAGTACAAACTGACATTCTTAAGATCACATTAACCGATGGAAACGAATAGTCTTGATAAGCTATTGTCAACCACTAAAACAAGAAAGTTGTATGCAATCATGGGAAAGTAAACATAACTGTGTGCCTAACAAATAGTGATGATGGTACCTGCGCGAGAACCTGCTTGGACAAACCGGAGCCTTGGAAGAAGGCGACAGCTTCGGCACCGCTGATACGGCCGTCTCGATCCAAATCCGCACGTCGAAAATAAGCATCGAAGAGATCGACATTAGGCGCTTGGTTTTGACCCGATGCCATTGTTAATTCAACAACACCGGCTGATTTTACAGTTTGCGGATCAAAGCATAGAAACAGCAGATTCACAGAGCTAACGGTATATGCACGTAGAACGTGAACGACCTGAAACAACGTACACAGCCAATTTCGAACCCTTGCACATTAAAGGATTTGCCTGGCCCTCTATTCCTGTTATCTTGTTGGAACCAGCGGAATGAAAAATTGCAGATTCAGCTACGATGATCGCCAATTTTCATTTCCTCCTCGAGGAATGAAAGGGACAATGTTACTCTTGTTTTGCTAACAATATTTCGAATATACCACTGGCATTGGGTCAATTACTCGGCCCGTTCCAGTGTTATCTTTTATCGCCTTTCCTTGTGAATGGAATTTGAATTAACATGAATTATATTTTGCTTGAATTATAGTTTGCAAATTAAAATTGGATTAAAAGAAATTTATTATAATATGATTTATATTTAAATAATTTTTTATAAAAAATTAAAAATTATTTTAACAAATTAAAACTTATTTAGATAATACGATTAAAAAGAAATTTTAAATATATAATAATAAAAAATATAAAAAAATAAAAAGTACATGACTTCTATGTCTCTCACTCTCACTGTTATATAAGTATGCATATGGGTGGCACTGTATATAAGTCAAGGGGTGCAAATACACCCCTTGAATTTAGAAAAAAATACAAAAAAAAGATTATATATTTTACTATTTTAAATTTTTTGGTTTAAATATTTTGCATCTCTTAACCTTCCTTTAAATCGTTTGGATTTAAAAAAAAATTAAATTTAAATATGTTCAACTGAGGTTCAAAAAATGTTGCACCCTCTATCCCATGGTTTTGACATCTCCATGGAGCATGCAACTTGATAAATTTAAGAAAAAATATTATAATTATAAAAATAAAAGAGTTAATGTATTAATGTAGAAAATATTTTTAAATACTAAAAAACTTAGTTAGATTTATTTAAATAATATATATACATATTTCAAATAATAAAAGTATTAAAATTACAAATAATGAAAATATCAAATTTCAAAAGGAAATGTGGAATAATAAATAGGTTATTTAATAAATTTAAAATGCATTAAACGCTACTAATAGTTAGATTTGAGTGTAATTAATGTAAGTTTCAAAATCTAGCTTTTCACCTAATTATAATTGGGAAAGAAAAGCTCATATGCTAACTACTCTTACCTAAACATATTTTTTTACTACCAGCTAGTTTTCAAGTCTCCAAACTATAGTTTAAGCCAATTAAATAGAATTCCAAACAAGTACTAAAAGTTAAAACAATGCTTCATACTTCAGAAAAATTACATCCAATGACCTGAATCTGATTATAAAAAGTAAAAACTTATCTTTTGTCATGAAAAAATAAAATTTATTAATCTATCATCTATCAATACTGATAATAATTCTAGCCATTTTATTTTTTTGCATAGTGATAATTCAAACTTGAATTGGAGGGACTCATTTTTTTTGGGTCAGAGTGACCCATGCTTAGAACAATAATTCAAGCAGTGACAAAATGAAAGGGAAAGCAATGGTTGAATCTATGGCTTTTTATCATGAATATGTTACAATAATTTTTTTTATTACTTACAGATATCTTCTTATTGAAAGTAATTTTATTCAAAATATGATCAAGCACTAAAGTGAGCACCTTTCACGGTAAATTTAAATCTTAATTTATTATGAGAAGCTAACTTCTTTTATTGTATCCAACTCCCATTAGTTATGTTACAATAGTTCTAATGGGGCAAAAGCAAACTTTAGCTTCAAGCAAATAACCAGAGTTTTTTAAGGTACCCATGGGAAACTGCTTCAACAAGAAAATAGAGCACAAAAGATATGTTCGATGTGGTGGATAAATCATGAATCCCAGGTAGCAAGCTTTCCTCATCTATAATTTTGTTTGTCATTAGTTTGCCAACCATTTCTTCGATGGGAAATTCACTTTCATCGTATTAGTCAATAAGCTCTTTGAAATTGTGACGAAAGTGTTCATCATAAAATGAGCATACAGAATCAATTCCTCAATATTCTAAAAGTGGGATTACATTTTCATGGTTGTATCTGTTAGACCAGTTAGTATTGTAATAATTAAATAAAAATATTATATACATATATAAAAATATATGTATAAATTATAAATTATTAAATAGCTTAAAAATAAACTTAAATAGTCCAATTTCATGATATGTTTACAAGTTCACGTGGTAATCATATATTTTATAACTATTAAATTATTAAAATAAAAAATAATATGCTAAACATATATATGTTTAAAACAATAATAAATCATAATTAAGTTACTTTTGTCATAATAATTTACCAAATAACTTCATAATATTTCATTTAATATTTATTGAAAAACATATAAAAAGTATTAGAACAAAATTCAATAAAAATAATTTATTAAATTGAAAAATATAAATGTTCATATATTATCAATATTAATTAATCCCAACCCATGGTATGCCACCGGCTATTTTCCCACGTATTTTTTTGTATGACTTTTGAGTCAAGTCACATTTTTCAAGTCTACTTCATGTCACATCTTTTTTACAAAGTTATAAAACAAAAAATTAAAAGGCAAAAATAAAGGCTTGATACTACTTTGTAGGAGCAATATTGCCAAAGTATTAGAAATAGAGTAATCACCATTAACTTGGATACCCTTTAACCATTAACCCCCTTTATTTGACCAATAAATTGACAAGTGTCTATAGAAAGGGAAAACCACTTCCAAGAAAGGATACAACCTTGCTTGCTCGATTTTTGCAAAGAATTCGGTCAAACACCTGTCTTGCTTCCTCCAACCTACCATCACTAATCAACCCCGTGACTATGGAACTCCAGAAACCAATTAAGTCCAGAGAATAAGCTGTTCATGGAGGTTTGCACCGTGGGTTGATTCCAAACAGGGAGCTCTTAATGATTTCAAAGTTTTGAATTTTTGTTAATATCAAAATCTTGTTGTTTGCGAGGATAGTGAAATATTAGGATTTGACGGAAAATGGAGTCTATGTCGGGGCCATCAGCGGATGAAGCGGTGGAAGAGATCATGAGAATTCACGAATCTTTACCCGCCAAACTGGGAATTGATGAGGTTGAAGCAGCGAAAGCTTTGATTATAAATGTTGAGAGAAGACCAGGCAAGACTTGAAGCCATATCTAAAAATAAGAGCCTCGTCGTGCCAGACGAACTCTTCATGGTTCTACAAGAGATGCGAAGAACTTGATTCATTTTAGAGCAAAGAGCAGTAGACGGAGAATCTGAAATTGCTTGACATCGTAAACGTCCATTCACTGTTTGATGATTTGATTCAGAGAGCATGACCCAATACCAAGAACAGGTCCCTCCAAAACTGAATCTGATTCCATCAACGACAATGCTGTGAGTACGAGGAATCGCACAGGAAGTGCCGTTTGACAAGGAATAAGAGATAGCATCCTTAGACACTCGAATTAACTGGTTGGAGTAAGAAATTTCATGCATGATGTACCGACTATTGGAGATATTAAGGATTGGGATAAGAAATTTCGAAGCAGTAGAGTGTTTCAAAATTTTAGACAATTGAGAGAAGAAAGACGACAAAAAGGAAGGATCTGTTTTTTTTTTTTAAATGCTAGGTGGCTACCTAGCAGTTGCCACATGTAAAGTTGCTAGTCCAAACTAAGATTTAATAATCCAATGTTACTCAAGTTAACAGTAGGGCAATATTGGTCTCTCTATTTTTTTTTTAAGTTTTAAGGTGACATAATTTTTTTTAAAAGATAAAGATACTCGGTGCTTTTTTCAAAAAATTTTCGTAACATTTTTGTCTCCTAACCCTAAAACTAACACCCTCCCTTATCCTTTATTTCCACACCTCTACATTTTCTAATCTTTGTCTTAGATGGACTTAAAATATGGGTTGATGGACTTGTAGATTTGTAATTGCAAAGGAAAATGATGGACTTGCAGAGGAAAGAAGAAATAAAAAATCTTATTTAGGTTCCTAAACTCTATTGAACCATTGTTAACAGTTAAATTTCTTGAAAGGGAGGAAAAATCCTATTTGCAGTCGTTGCCATTGCACTCCTCTTCATGGCTTCATCGTTGCTTCTTCGTAGCTGCATCTTTCACTCACAATCATCTGACATCTCTCTCCGCTTGTTCGAATTTGCTATTGTTTCATGCCATTCTGTTGCACATTATTTGCTTTCTTAAGTCTCAGGCAGCGGGATTTAGAAGACCATCAATTAGCTCCTAAGTACTAAACTTCAGAGAAGACTAATGCTTTGTTGGGCAAAGAGAAAATATAAGAGGAAAGAAAACAGGAGAAAAAAAAATACATTTTTCTCTATTTGGATGAAAGAGAAAAAGTGAGAGAAAAGACAAGTAGCCAAAAAAAATAGAATTGAAACCACTACATTTTCTCCCCAACTATTCTCTCCAAAAGGGAGGAATTTTGAGAATAAAATTTTATTCCACCATCTATCCTTAGTGTTGAACTTCCACCTGTTTTCATTTTTGCGTGACCCCTCATCTTTGACCCACAGTAGAGCATCGTCTTCAGTGGCTGCTGTTGCTACTGCTGCTTCTTTTTCTCTGGCGTGTTCTTCTGTCTGCGTCTTCTGTGAGATTTCTTGCTTTCTACCATGATTTCATTCTTCTTCGAGGAGTTTAACTAAGAGCATCGATTTAATATTCTAACAAATCTTTCCATTGGACCAAACTGTAACACTGAAACTAGAAGATAATAAAGCTGCAATAATGGAAATGTTCGAGTAATTTAAAATTAAAATTAGAGCTTAAACATTGGTAGCAGTATAGAGTGTGCAGAGAGGATTGGAAAGGAATCATAGAGCAAGAACCAGCCCCAATGTTGACGATGGCTCCTTCAGGCATTAGTGACATTGTCTTTTCATTAATTTTTAGTGTCAGGAAATTTTATTTATATAAGTACTATGATAATGTATAATATACATTTTTGTTATTATATTTAACTTAAAAAATGTGCCCAGTTTTTATTTTTAAAAAGAACAACTAACATATTTTTACTAAATTACTTAATTTTAAAATATTCAATATGAAAAAATATTTTTCACAACTAAATTGTTTTCAAATTAATTTGATTATGTTAATTTTAATATGATTTCTATTTTCAATTTATTTTTATAAAGTTGATTACATAAAACATGACACATTTTAGTAATATGACATCATAATCATCATAATATCTGTTCATATTCTTTTTCCTCTATTTTCTTCCGTCCATCTAAACATGAGAGATGATG